ACAGGTGCGGGCCGCGAAGCCTGGCTGGGCACATACACGGGGGCAGGAGCACAGGTTGGTGCTGCCTTCATGTGCTTCTCTGCTCGACTGGCAGCGTTGGAGGAGGCACCGACTAGCACGAATGCTCTGCATCTACAGCACCAGGTCCTGCATACCTTCCACATGCTGGCCACGGGGCTGAGCGTCAGGTCAGAACCTCAGTAAGACACACTCACAAGGAACTCACAGAAACAATTAATTGCCATGATGAGCAGAAACAATTTTAAAACAATGCAGTTATTACCTTCCCTGGCCCTCATTTTCCAAACTAGAATCTTAGGCAAGAGCCAGGCATTCAGGCTGAGGCAGAGGGATTGCAGCAAGTTCAAGGCCAGCCTGGGCTACACAGTGAGAGCCTGTTATAAAGCCTTCAGGCGCATGCCTGTGACCCCAGCACTTGGGAGGCCACGGGACAATCACCGTAAGTTCGAGGCCAGCTTGGGCTATGTAGCTAGCCTGTCTCCAAAAAATTAAAATCTAAATAAATAAAGCCTCAGATAATGTCATCTTATATTCAGGGAGCATTTCCACGGAAAAGTCCTTTTCTTCCCTAAACTCATCTTGCCTCCTCTCCTAACTTGATCTACCTGAAGATTTCAGCTGATGACAAACCCCACCCTCCCAACCCACGAGGCCAAGTGTCTGAATTCCCTTTCGTGTCTTTCTTTTTAATGTATTTGGGACAGGGTCTCACTGCACGGCTCAGACTCACAGCGATCCTCTTGTTCTCAGCCTCCCAGCGCTGGATTGCGGGCGTGCGCCACCATGCCCGGACTTGGTTGCACGCTCAGCGTGCCCAGCATGGCCTGTGGTGCCAGGGACTGAACCCCAGCTCCCGCACTTGCCCAAGCTGGTGCTTAGTCCGCTAAGCTATCTTGCTGGCCGTTCCAGGCCTTCACTTGTTTTCCCCACAAACTTCACCAGCAAGTCCTCTTGGTTCTGCTTTCAAATATATCTACAACATACCTACAAGGTGTACTCAACTCAACAAGGGGAGAATAATAGGTTCTGGCCCTAGTATGAACTGCTGAATCACGGTGGCCATCTAATATGGCTGAAGCCCTTAAAACAACAGCCTATATTCCCGGAGAGCACCTCCACCTGCTTCTCCAACTTAGCCTGGGCGGCGCAATTTCCTTTCACTTTTCGGGCTGCCTCAGGGAAGACCCCAATCAGCTCCTCAGGGATAGCTCAACATCCCTCTCAAACTCCACCCTTGGCGAAAGACCATAAAGCCT